CGTGTTGTTTAAAGACAACAACAACAACAAAAAACTGTGGATGCAAGGAAATCCAAAGGAGTTAAATTCTAGGGAATAAATATCCAGGCCTAAGTGGAGAGAGGTGAGGCGTGAGCATATCTGCGGCTTCTGAGGAACAGCAGGGAGAACAGTGTGGCTGGAATGAAAGGAACCAGGGGCAGTGGGCGGGGCTGAGCTCAGGGAGGTGATGCACAGGGCCAGCTCACTGGGGCTTTGCGTGCCAGGTGAGGACTTCACTTGTAGCTGGAGTGAGGTGCAGGTGGCTGAGCCCAGAGGGCTCTGATCTGGGTTGGGGGTTCCCAGGCTCCTTCTGACTGTGGAGATGGGTGGAGGCTGCTGGGATGTGCAGGCGGTTGGGCAGAGGGAGAGGCTGCCAGGGTGCGCGCAGGGAACAAGGGAGAGAGAGAGAAATGGATTCTGGATATGACCTTAAGGTCCCAGAACAAAGAACTGGCAATTTCCTGAGTGAGTAAAGGACTTGGCACCCAGGCCGGGGACAGTTGACTTTCCAATCTGGACAAAGGAGGGAGAAGGGAGAGGTGCAGAGGACCTGGCTGCCCCTGCAGTCAGACAGGGACCCACAGCTTTCCCCAGGGCCTGGCCTGAAGATGGGGGAGAAGCAAGGTCCCTTCCTTCCCAGTCCCTAGCTCAACCTTCCTGGGGTCTGGAGGTAGAGGGAGGGTGACCTGCCCAGGAGGTGAAGGACATTGCAGAGTCCGCTATCTTATCAGGGAGACGCAAACATGTACCAAAAGTCACGGTCACAGTGAGGTCCTTTACTTGGCAAACAGTCCCTGGGGCCAGGCTGGGAAATGCATACAGTGGTGACTGGGGTATTCTGGATCCTAGCCTCATGGGGCCCAGAGCGGAGAAGAAAGAGCAGCAGATTGTGACAGCACAGGGCGGTCAGGGCTAGGATGGAGGAAAGTCAGACAGAGAGGACAAGGCTGTGACAGGAAGCCAGGGAAGTGCTGGACCCGTTCTGGTGCTTGGACCAAGATGGTTTCTTGGAGGAAGGAGCATCTGGGCCTGACCCAAAAGATGAGCAGTTGAACATGGGAAAGAGGTGCAGGGTGGCTTCTAGCAGAGGAAACTGCCTGTGACCCTGAAACGATCGGTTTGAAAAACAGAAGGTCTGAGCAGGCTGAGTCCTCAAGCCTGAAAAGAAAAATGGCTCCTGGGAAGAAGGAGGGACAGCAGGAGGGGGGGGTCTGAGCCCATCAGGCCCTGGGGGACACTGAGTCCTGGTCAGTGTGTACGGATGGGGTTCCAGGAAAGTCTTATTCAAATTCCCCTTAAAAAAACCACATAATGATCCCCATCTGATTAATAATCCATCCTCTGACCCTTCTTTCTAAAGAAAAGAAAAAAAAATTTTTTTAAAATTCCTAGCATTACTTAATTCTCAAAAAAGTCTCCAATTGATCTCTGCACCCCAGGCTCAGAGAAATCTTGCACTGTTGAGCTAATTGGATCATGTCTCCCTTGCCACATTCTTGTGACAAGTCTTTGCCCTGGGAGTTGCCCACCAGCCTGAAATGGCAGTGCTCAGTCCACCTGGGCTACGGTAAAGTCCATCAGGGTGCGAGGTTACCGGGACCATTCCCACATTCCACCTGGGGGGGAGCCTCTGTGCTGCCTCCCTGAGATGGGGATCAGTAATACCCGGACACAGGTTAGAAGAATAAAATGCAGGAGCAAAATACCCCACCCCAAAGACGGAACTGAAGTCCCATCTGAAGGCAATCAGGGAAGCACTGGGAAGATTTAACCATTCTCATGGCTGGGAACTGCAGACAGAATGGACAAGGCCATGGCGCTAGTACAGGTCAGACTGAGCCAGGCCTTGCCATTAGGTGTTGGGCTTGGGAAGGCCGGGTGCTGGGGGAGGTTGTGAGGGCTGGGACAGTGGCTTGTGGAATCAGGCTCAGACAGTGGCTGTGTGGATTCAGACCCGGGAATCCAGATGTCTTCCTTGCTCTAGACGGTTTAAAGACTCAAAGAAGAGGCACGTCCTGACACGATGCTCTCAGAAGGGTATAGATCATTTGTGTGTTCCTTTCCTGCCCAAAGTAAACGACCTGAATGTCATCAGGAAAATCCATCAGCAAACTCAAACCGAAGGAAAAATCTACAAAAGAACTAATAGGGTTCCAAAATGCCAAGGTCACGAAAGCAAGGAGCCTGAGGAAATATCACAGAGCAGAGGAGACCAAGGGAACATGATCATTAAATACAAGCAGTGATCCTGGCTTGTATCCTGGGCTAGGAAAAGAACATTAATGGGAAAACTCAAATTCTCTCATCTAGTTAATAGTGTCTTATCAATGTTAGTTTCCTGAATTTGTTCATTAGAGTGTGATTATGTAAGAGAATGTCCTTATTCACAGGAGACACATACACATGTATGGAAAAAACATCCTGTCTCTGTCTCACAAATTATTCAGCCCTCCCCCCCAAAAACACCTTTAAATCTATCCATCTATCCACCTATCCATTCATCCATCTATCTGGCACAAATATAGCAATTCATTAAATTTGGGTGAAGGGTCAGAATGTGTTTATTTACTATCTTTGTAACTTGTGGATTTAAATAAAGTAAAAAATTGAAATTTACAGTAACAAAATAAAAATTTTGTGAGAAAAAAAAAACTCCTGTGAGAAAGGAGAGAAAACAGATGAAGCAAAGATCCCGAGGGACAGCCTGGGTTTGGCAGAAGCTGTCTGTGCCTAGTGATGGCTCCTCAGTCTCTCCAATTAGAACTTTGTGAGATTCCCCGATTTATGCAGATAGGATCTGTGCAGCTGCACCAGGTCCTGGGAATTTTGGGGACAGCGGCTGGTAGGCCAACGATAGAAGGACCAGAGACAGTATGGAGCACCTGAGGAGTTCCCAAAGACTGAGAATTCCTGAAGACCTTCCCAGCACTGCAGATTGGCTAGTGGATATTCCTAGGTATCAATGAGCTTGATCCTCTTCAGCTCTGAACAATGTTTATTGAGCACCTACTGTATATCTGAGGGGGAAACGTTCTGGGACTGGGTACACAGCAATACAACCAAGTCATCGTCTTCTTTCTGGTGGGCCAGGCGAATGCCAAGCAAGTAAAAATAAAATACAATAGAACAGGAGGTGTGGATAAGGTCAGGGTAAGGGATGGAAGGTGAAGGGGTGAAGGTGTTACAGGTGGACCCTTGGCCCAGGTGACACTTGCACGGAGGCCTGAAGGAGGTGGGAAAGAGCCTTGCAGATATCTCAGGAAGAAAGTACCCAGCAGATGGAGCTGCGAGTGCCAAAGTCCCGAAGCAGGAACGTCCTTGGTCTGTCTGTACAAGGCACAGCAAAGAGGCTCCTGCCTATGTGACTGTCGTGGAGACTGAGGCCGAGAACTGATGTGGGGTCAGATCTTGTGGGAATTAGGCTGAGGGTGTGGCTCAGTGGTAGAGCGCCTGCTTAGCATGTGTGAGGCCCTGGCTTTGATCCTGGCACCATACAACAACAAACAAACAAGGAAATAATATAAAGTTATATAAAAGTTAAATCTTACAGGAATGATTGTGGATTTGACTCTGAGCAAGAAGGGATGCCGTTGAGGGTTGTAAGCAGAGGAGCGACACCAGCTATTTGACACACATGGCTCAGAGATGAAGCTCAGGGCACCCATGGTCTCACCGCAGTGGCAGTTGGGGACTGCACCCCATGCTACTCCTCTCTTGGAGTTTTCTATATCAGGCTGGGCATGAGCAGTGGGGTGGGTGTGGGGAGGAGCTCAGGCTGCCCAACAGCTTCGACTTTCCCAGGTGACCTGCTCCAGATGAGAAGGACGTCGCCAAGGCAATTATCTAATCAGCTCCACTCTCACCTGCCCCAGGGACCTGCCTACTCCCTGGGCCAAACATGACCATACAGAGACCCCAGCATTCTACCAGCCCAGCCCCTCACTGCTGCCCCCAGAGGTCCCTACCTGGGGGATTTGGACTTTTTGGTACCTGGAACTGGGCACCAAACACCGAGTTTAAGCCAGGATGCTTGGACACATCCTCTCCCCATTTTTCACCTTGGTTCCTCCTTCTGGCAGGGTGGCGTGGAGACAGGGGAATGGTTAAGATCCCCGATTGCTATAGCTGGTGGTGCAGAGTGCCTCGGAGACCCTCTTTGAACCTCCTCAAGACTCAGTTTCCCTCTCTGCACAATGGGAATAATAGAGTCCCTTCGCAGGGGTTTGTTGCAAGAACCTGTGAGGTCACATGTGTGCAGAACCTAGCACATTCTTGGGGCTACCTGTGTGATGTTTGGTGTCTTGTTGGTGGTACCACGTAAGAGGCTCTGGGTCAGAAGTGGGCTGGAATCCTTAGGCACATCAACCTTATACAAAATCCTACCTGTCTAGGCCTCGGTTTCCTCATCTGTACAATGAGCTCATGAGAGAACAGAATTTTGCAGGGTTGTTGTGAGAAGCTAAGGAGATCATTTGAGTAAACCACACAGGGCAAGGCTAGCCCATAATAAGTCCTCAGTAAATGACAGCCTTTACAGAGACTATTATGGGCATCCTTCCTGCAGGTGACCAGGCCTGCAAGAGGACACTCTGCACCTGACCTATCTGGTTCTGAGTCTTGACTTTATTATGCCTTCTCTTGGGGACTGTGGGCAAGTGGCTTGACCCTTCTGTGCTTCAGGGTGTCCCCCCTTAGAGTTGTTGGAAGGTTAAATAAGTCCTCACACAGTGCCTGTCACACGTCACTGCATGTTTGTTCTCTTTATTGTCATTGCTGTGGTTTTCCCGGTGATTCCTGATCTGTGTGAGGCTGCATTGGGATTTGGGCAGGTTGGAGCAGTCCACTGGGAAATGCCTGTACTGTCCAGGCCTGGAGGTCACCCCAAGGAGCCCTGTAATCAGCTGTAATCAGCCAGTTCTGCCCCACCCCCACCCTCCCTGGGTATATCAGAGCTGGTCTGGCCCCAGACTCTGTGGAGGCCAAGGGAGGCCAAGCTCTAGGCACCATGGGAAAGGCAGTGAGTGGGGTCCTGGGCTGGGGGCTTGGGGTGGGAGCAGGGTCCCAATGACATCTAATGCCTCCCTTGTCCCACCTCATCTCCCAGGAGAATTATGAGCTCTACTCAGTGGAGCTGGGGCCTGGCCCTGGTGGGGACATGGCCGCCAAGATGAGCAAGAAGAAGGCCGGTGGTGGGGGAGGCAAGAGGAAAGAGAAACTGGAGAATATGAAGAAGGAGATGGAGATTGTGAGCATCAGGCCAGGCGCCTTCGGGGCTGGGGACGGGGCTGGGAACTAGGCAGTGGGCAGGGGTGGGCGCTGGCAAGAGCCAGACAGCAGTGCCCTGTCGCCCACCTCCCAGAACGATCATCAGCTGTCAGTGGCAGAGCTGGAACAGAAGTACAAGACCAGTGCCACCAAGGTGAGCCGGGGCTGCGGAGGAGAAGGCACCGAAAGGGCAAGAGGGGGAGAGGGGACAGGAGAGCGTTAGGGGTTAATCTCAGCGAGAGACAGAGACAGGGAGGGGCAGAGACAGGGAGAGAGGAGCGGGGAGAGAGAGAACAGGAAGAGAGACAGAAAGATGAGAGACAGGAGGGAGGGAGGAAGGGGGAGGGAGGAAGGAGCGGGGGTGGGGAGAGGAAGAGGAAGAGGGACAAGACAGAGATGGGGGAGAGGGGAAGGGGGAGGAGATGGAGGCAGAGGGTGCATGGTGACAGGACGGCCCTGTGACCTCCACCACAGTCCACCCCTCTGTCCCCAGGGCCTGTCTGCGAGCCTGGCAGCTGAACTGCTGCTGCGGGATGGGCCCAACGCACTGAGGCCACCGCGGGGCACACCAGAGTATGTCAAGTTTGCCCGGCAGCTGGCAGGAGGCCTGCAATGCCTCATGTGGGTGGCTGCTGCCATCTGCCTCATCGCCTTTGCCATCCAGGCCAGCGAGGGTGACCTCACCACTGACGACAACGTGAGTGGTGGGCCCTACAGGCCAGACACAGGATACAGGGACCTGTGGGACAGAAGACATTGAGCCTGGGACTCAGGACAAGGGGAACGTAGGATGGGGATTCAGAGACATAGAGATGCCATTCTGAGTCATGGACCCTGAGGGGACACTGGGATGTGAGACACACCCAGGAACATAGGTCACAGGGACGTTGGGATGAGTCTTGGGTGAACCCATCTTGGTGGAACGTGAAGACATAGGAATGCAATAAGTAAGAATATGGGACTTGGGAAACAGAAGATATAAGACAAACTAAGGCCTCAGGACACAGGGACATTAGGACTTCATATGAGACACCAGGGACATAAGGGACATGAGCCATAAGACAAAGTACATGGCGAGATATAAGACACCAGACATAGAAGCAGACAGAGGAAATGGAGATGCAGGACAAAGAGATGTTTGATACACAACAGGGTCAGAAAAAAGGTCATGGGGACTCGGGGACATTTATGACATTGGGCAGAGGTTTGAAAAGTCACAGGAAAGGTGACATGGAATGGGGACTAAGAGGTACATAAACGTGGGGACTGAGAATTTAGCATAAGGTCTGTGATACACAAGCACACGGATATGGGGACATGGGGACACAGGGACTATTGGGTGTAGGAGATGCAGAAGGTGGCACACGGATTGTAGAAGAGACAGAAACATGAGGAGATATAGGACATGAACATGGCCATAACAGACTTGGAAGACACAGGAAAAGGGAACACATATGACCAAGGAACACAGACACGGGTCACAAGCCACAGGAGATAGGACCATGGGAAGACCCAGAATTCAGGAGCCCAAGGAGCCAGGGCAGGAGGGACTAGAATACAGCATAGGTGAGCGTGGCGTGCAGAACCTGCTGGTGGGTCTCGGACCAAGGGAACAGTACCGAGGTTTCCTAGTAGTGGGAAACCACAGAGGTGACCCCAAGGATTCCAGGGGCCAGGGAATGGGGCGTGGCCTTGGGCAAGGAGCGTCTAAGGCCTAACATGTAACCCCAGCCCCTTGACTCCTCCTGCAGCTCTACCTGGCCATCGCCCTCATTGCTGTGGTCGTGGTCACTGGCTGCTTCGGCTACTACCAGGAGTTCAAGAGCACCAACATCATCGCCAGCTTTAAGAACCTTGTGCCCCAGGTGGGTCCCCAGGCCCTGCCTCTTCAGATTCCAGAAGCTCCAGACCCACTCAGGCAGGATCCTCTTCCATCAGGCCCACCCTTAACTCTGACCTCCATATCTCCACTAGGGCCTCAACTGTCCCCATGTTCACCTCCCCACATCCCTTTACACTCAGCAACCTTCACCCCTACCCCTGCCTGTTCTATTCTGGTGCCCCTGCCCCACAGCAAGCCACTGTGATCCGAGATGGGGACAAGTTCCAGATCAACGCAGATCAGCTGGTGGTGGGTGACCTGGTGGAGATGAAAGGTGGGGACCGTGTGCCAGCTGACATCCGCATCCTGGCAGCCCAAGGTTGCAAGGTGGACAACTCCTCACTCACCGGAGAGTCGGAGCCACAGACCCGCTCACCGGAGTGTACCCACGAGAGCCCACTGGAGACCCGCAACATCGCCTTCTTCTCTACCATGTGTCTTGAGGGTCTGTGGAGCCCCTTCCCACCTGTTCAGTAGTCACACGGCCTCCATGCTTCCCTTACGGCCCCGCTGGCTCTTCTGCTGTGTTCTGTGGCATGTTCCTCCCACCCCACATGACTGCCACCTCTCCAGGGCACACTGACTCTATCACCTGCTATAACTACCCCATTCATGCTGCCTCTGTTGTCTCCACACTGCCCCACCCTCAGTGCCCGCTTCGAAGCCCACCCCCACTGCTGCCTACCCCACCCTGAGCCCCTCTTGGCCCACTGCAGGCACAGCGCAGGGCCTGGTGGTGAACACGGGTGACCGCACCATCATTGGGCGCATTGCATCCCTGGCCTCAGGAGTGGAAAACGAGAAGACGCCCATTGCTATCGAGATCGAACATTTTGTGGACATCATCGCAGGCCTCGCCATCCTCTTTGGCGCCACGTTTTTTGTGGTGGCCATGTGCATAGGCTACACCTTCCTGCGGGCCATGGTCTTCTTCATGGCCATTGTGGTGGCCTATGTGCCTGAGGGACTGCTGGCTACTGTCACAGTGAGTGAGGAGGCCAAGGGGGTACAGGGAGCTGAGAGTCTGTCTATCTGTTTATTTATTCATCCAGGCTTCCACCTCCACCTTCCTATCTGTCCATCCATCCACGCACCTCCCCATCCACCCTCCACTTTCCCATCATCCATTCACTCAGCATTCACCTGCTTCAGGCCGTGTCCTGGGCCCCATATGAGGGCTTGGAGATGGACAGGGTCCTAGACGGAGGAAGCTGAGTCCCCTGTTGGCAGCTGCCCTGTAACCAGGCCTTACATAGTCACATGTAGTCCAAGAGTCACCCAGAGGAGGCTCAGGGGTTCATTTTCTCATTTGATTGTGCTCATAATAGAACATGCAGAATCTCAGCTGGGACAGCTTGGAGTGTATCTGGGTGATTGGGAAAGGCAACCCAAGTACGAAGCCCAGATTGGACCAAAGCTTGGTTTTTGTTTTGTTTTGTGTTTGGCAGAAGAATCTCCCACTTGAAACACTGTGGCTGGTGTGAAGAACTCCCCAGCGCTCTGAGTGGAGGAAAATGGGACTGCAAGCAGGAATTTGTCCCTGTGTCTGAGTTTTTCACCTCTCCCCAGGTCTGTCTGTCCCTGACAGCCAAAAGGCTGGCCAGTAAGAACTGTGTAGTCAAAAACCTGGAAGCAGTGGAGACCCTGGGCTCTACATCGGTGATCTGCTCTGACAAGACCGGGACCCTCACTCAGAACCGCATGACTGTGTCCCACCTGTGGTTTGACAACCACATTCACACAGCTGACACCACGGAAGACCAGTCAGGTCTGAAGATGGGAGGGGACGAGTACTGGGACAGGATCCAGTGGATGGTGGAGACCTGAAGGGATCCCGGGAAGGCTTTGCCTTAATGGGAAGGGGGTGGGACTCAGCTCCAGGTTTGTGAAGGAGCGCTCTGTCCCGTTCACAGAAGACTGAATATTGGGTCTAGAGACAGGGCTCTGATCTAGGGTCCCCTTAGGCCTGGGGAGGCACTCCAACCTGAACGCAGGGGGAGGGGCTCGGTTCTGGTCTGGGAGAGTTTCTCCCTGGCGCTGCCAGCCCGGGTGTCTGGTCTTCAGGACAGACTTTCGACCAGTCCTCGGAGACGTGGCGGGCGTTGTGCCGCGTGCTCACCCTGTGCAACCGCGCTGCCTTCAAGTCCGGCCAGGACGCCGTGCCGGTGCCCAAGGTGAGATACTGGGGGACCCGGGGTCATGCTGGGAACTTGGTGAAGCCAGGTTCGATCCTGACGATCG